ATAATTGGGAAAGCATATGCTATACTTTCGGACCCTACCATGGTAGGTTTCTTGTCATATTCTGGGTGTTTTTGCTCTTGTTAGTGTTTTGTAAGTTTTATCTATTGAAAACTGAATATAGGTTCTTATATTGGCTGATGTTTTCTTTTAATAATGTTCTATGTTGGTTTAGATTGAGTGACATGTCAGATTAGAGCAGTTTTCTATTTTAGTTTATCTTGTTATGATAAAGGCTTGCATTTTCTTTGATATTTCTGAATGAACTTAAACTGTGTTTTGTTAATAATCAAGTGTAATCTGAGATTCTCTTTTTTGAAGATCTGAATGTGGAACTATTCAGTGTTATGCATGCCATAGGTATTTGAGAATTTGAAGCTATAAGGCAAGTTAATAACAGTCAGCATGAACATCTGGCACAAGCACATGCTACTAGCTAGTAACAGTAGGACTTCAAGTTGGAACCATGTTAAGTGCCCACCTTTGCAGTGCTAATGTTTTGTGTCGCTTCTGTTGATAATTTCAAGAGACCGCTGTTTACGGCAGTTTCAGCAAAATTAATACTGAAGTATCAATCAATTAACTTAAGAAACTCGAACCTCCAAGGTAAGTTCTTAGAATTCTGTGTGGAGCCGTGGACTCAAAGGAGTCTGTATGGTTTGCCTGGGTGGGAATCTGAACTTGAAAGTGGAATCAAGTTTATGGGGTAAAGTTTTTTAGAGAAAAGGAAAAGTAGAGTTGAGGCTGGCACGAAGTCGAAGAACCATTCAGATATTTCCATCTGCAAAAGTCTGCACAGATGTTAGTATGGAAATCAACATTGTAGTTCTTAGTGGCATTAACATATTCAACTTTTAGTTTATCATGATGATCTACAATGGTTTGGCTAGAGTTTTATTTATTTATTTCTCCAGTATTTTTCTTAATGGAAATTAGTTGGATAGCTTTAATTCTTCATCCATCAAGGCTAGTTTCTGTTTGTTTGATTTCAAAGCAGCAATCATACCTGTTGTTTTCTAATTGTGGTGCCTGATATATATCGTACAGAAGAGCAAATGATGGAACCGGGCACGTGGATTAATGGTACAAGCAGTGCACATGAACATGAGGGCTGCCCTCGGAGCAATCAAAGTGATGTATAGTGTTTGTTTGTACAAAACAGAAGTGGTGATAGGATTTTGTGATAATTATGAAGTGGTACAGTAAAGAAGTATAATGGGGAGTATCTACAAGAATGCTGGTGACCTTATTCATGCTGAATGATTGACTAACGTGAGTTTTGGCATGTCCGGTGCTCCCATTGCGAGGTTTAGACTGCATGAGTACTATGAACCCAGGAAGTTGCAGATCTGGGTCTTCATGGGTGAATCACCGCTGTGAAAGTTTTTCTGCCTGCCAAGTTTCCATTTTGGTGTGCAGGGTGTATACTATATTGGATTACCGCTACCAACTTACCTTTTCATGTAAAGAAGATGTGCATATGTATCTGATGTTGTGCATAGTTTGTTGAAGCAGCTGGAAATGAAATCAGCAACAGAGGAACACTGTAAATACACGAGGTGTGGCAGGAGCACATGATTTGTTTGATTTGTTGATTGTATACTTAGAATGATTTTGCAAGAGGAAGAGGGCAGAGAGTTTTTCCCCTTGAGGTTTACGTTTGTATGTAAAACTGGACCAAACGAGTGATTCTTTTGTTGAAACAAACAAATAAGTTGGCATGGATGAATATTTTGATCTACAACTATTGGCCTGTTGTGCTTTTGGAAGTTCCAAGTTGTATTTTGAAGAATGGTATTATAGCCTGTACGACATTCCCTTCATTCACGAATGTATTTTGGTGTGGAAAAAATGGGCATGAAGCTTCCAGAAGCACGTGAGTATTGCTGAAAGAAAGTGAGCAAGACCATCTTTTTTTTAATATTTTGCAAGACTATCTAAATATGCAAAATGAGAGTAATACTTATATAATTTTCTTTCCCACAAAAAGGAAAACTTGTAATTTTCTTAGCAGTAGATTGCACTCAGTTAGCCTCACCAGACGACATTATCGCTTACTGAGACAAGTGTGTGATGTTTTTTCTCATTTTTATTTTCTCGCAAGTCTTAACATTGAATAGATTTGAATATGAAACTGTTTACTTGGCTGGAGTGATTGAAAATTACAGCGAGCCCGTTTTGGTGAATTAGTTACTTCACACCCTGCGGCTTAGCAAAGTGGGTGGTATTTTCAAGGTTCACTGGAGTATGTTTTATCTTGTCCAGCTGATATAAATATGTACAAGCCTGATATTTGGGATAAGGTTTGTCATGTGTTCATGGTTAAATGTTTACTGTCCTTTAGACAACAGAAATAAAGATCTTCAGGTGATATTGAGTAGCTTCTCAAACCCCATATATTTTGACAAGTTCATGAGAGCAACTTGATTTATCCCAGGGCTCTAGGCCAACCTAAAGGAATCCGAAATACAAAATAAATTAAAATACGAAGGCCATGTTGAAGGTACAATACAACCATATCTGTCTGACAGAGGACCTTGTTGAAAGAGATGGTCCATGTTCCTGACTCCTGACTAGTTAAACATAATTAGCCAGTGGTTTCTGTACTTTCGTGTCCTGCACTTGCAAGGGGCTTGCTGGGCATGCGATCTCGGCATAGCGATCATTATAGCAGGAGAAGAGCCATATCTGGAAGTGTTCTATAGTGTAGCTAGTATTAGTATGCCATGTAAACCACTGTTTTCTTACCATATCTACTCCCTCCGTTCCATAATTTTTGTCGTAGTTTTAGTTCAAAGAGGAGTACCTAGTTGTATTATTGCATGATCAATGGATGGTTTTCAGTTCCAGTAAAATATCAGCCATATAATGACCTCGCTTGTCCTTGGTGTCAAAACCTCTACTCATGTAAAGAGTTTAGTCATTATTTTCCGTATTTGGCAAAACCTTTGAATATGCAGTGGTAAGAGAAAGTGAAAAAAGAAACCATTTTCTTAAAAAATTTACGCGATCCCATGTGGTTCTAGAAGTCTGCAGAGTGGCAACATGTGATCGGCTGTTGAGAGTTTACTTGACAAACTTTTATGAAGCACTTGTTTTCCAAAATCGAGGGCTTAGTTAAATCTATGTAGAGTCAAATTAGGAGGACCCTGTGGCCATGTGCCCTAGCATCTGATCCGCATCTTGCTGGCCGTGCTGGTAGAGCTAAACAAGTGTTCCATTTTGAAAGCACTAAACAAGTACATTCTTGATTCTTGAGCTCTGATTCGGCACCTTACAATAACAAGTTGCTTGCTTTTTTTTTTCCGAACCGGGCTATACCCCTTTCCATTGCAAATGAACGGAAATACAGAGTTCAGAAACATGTCAGGAGGAGGGAAAGAGGTAAAGCGAGTCCGGGCACTGCCAGGAAACCCACTACATTCGCCCGCCATCGAAACGAATGTCATGGGGCGAAAACCTAGCCGGCACTGAATATCCACAGCAAACACCCATAAGTTTTAACTACAGACAGAGACATGAGACATCCACAAAAGAACCAAAACGCCACCACATGATCGTAAGGTCGCCCAGCTCCAGCCAACGAGGTTTTGCAGCCCTTCAATCTCAACAAGTTGCTTGCTTGATTTCCTTGGACTGATACTGGTTTTTAATTTGCACTGATACTGGTTGTTTAATTGGTTTTGCCCTTTTGAAGATGTGGAGAAATTTCTGCGTGACAGAAATACTAGACAGAAAATTTCCAACTATCAGTTTATCACTAAGGTACTAGTAGTACTGACTGACTGCTTTCAACTATTCCTTGGTATACTGCAAGAAAGCAGCCAGCTTTCTTTTGTAGTAAGAGAATATATTCAACATGTGTTTACTGTGAATTACGTACTCATAGACATCTTAATTCTTAGCTCATTTACATCGAGTGTGCTTTAAAAGGTCATCACCTACTCCAAATTCAAAGCTCAGCATCTTTCAGCTACTTATGCCATCTTAATTCTTAGCTCATTGACATCGAGTGTGTGCCTTGTGTCATAGTTGCATGACTAATTCTTGGAGTCTCTGGTATATTCCAAATTATAGACGATGAACGAAAACTAGACATATTTAACCTTTTACCTTTCCCAGTTTTCCAGTGTTCATTCTGAATCTATCATCTGTTTAGCCTGCAGACATACCATTTTAATGGCAGCCGACATAACCATCCACTAATAAAATGGGTAATGATCTCGTGATAAGCAAAACTACCACATGGGACACTACCTTGCACTTGAAGCGAGTTGGAAGTCAAAGTGATCTTGGAATTTGAACTCGTGCACAAAACTAAATCGTATCAACTCTTTTAATTTCTGCAGTGGATTGGCCATTAACTATGTATCCCAGTATCTCAACTCCTTGATAGATGAGAAGTCAATGTCTTCTCTCAGTTTGTTATTCGAGCTAACAGTATATGTGCCCATTTGCCCATGTTCTATAGAACTTAATTACTTCCAATTTTCTCCTGCCAAAATATTATTCACTATATACACACACACACACACACACACACACACACACACACACACACACACACAAACGTATCTTCTCTGAAATGTTCCGGTGTATCACCGACAGGTGGGACTAACCATTGGAAATTACAGTAACCAACATGCACTATTATAATATTTACTTATAAATCCCGAACAAAAAATATTTCAAGATCGGTTCGCAGTGGCAAACGTGGACTTTACTTCTCACAATCTCAGATGCAGAGCATCCCGACCTATGCCTATATATAGGCACCATCTTCCTGTTAGGATCCTCGCACTCCTCCCAACATCTCCGCACTTGCAAATTCAAGTGTTGAGCTAGCAAAGCCTAGTTGCTTAACACGGTAAGCAGTAGATGAGATGAAAAGTCCCTAGCTAGAGCTATCAAGCCTTGTACTACTTTGTTCTCTCCTGCGATTTTTGGCTGTATCGATTAACTAGCTCACTCGTTGCTGATTTTCAGAAGGATTCCATATACACATGGAGTTTCTAGGCTTGCTAGCTCTTGCCATCGCCGCGGTGGTCGGAGTTGTCGCCGGCGAGGACTCAACCTGGAGCAATGGCCGCGCCACGTTCTATGGCGGCAACGACGCGTCAGGGACAATGGGTAAGCGCACAGAAATGAGGTCTAGTTAGGCCAGCCGTTTGAGCTGTTCATCGCCGGTGCATGCTTGCTAACTAATCTTTGTGATATGTGCGTGGTGTGTGCAGGAGGAGCGTGTGGGTACGGCAACATGTTCAGCGCGGGGTACGGGACCAACACGGCGGCGCTGAGCACCGCGCTGTTCAACAACGGGCAGAGCTGCGGCGCGTGCTTTGAGATCCGGTGCGCCGGCAGCGGGAGCTGCCTGCCGGGCTCCGCCGTCGTGACGGCCACCAACCTCTGCCCCGCCAACTACGCACTCCCCAACAACGAGGGCGGGTGGTGCAACCCGCCGCAGTCGCATTTCGACCTCGCTGAGCCTATGTTCACTAAGATCGCCCAGGCCCGTGCCGGCGTCGTGCCCGTCCAGTACAGAAGGTACCCATCGCATTCGCATCGGTGACTTAAGCTCTAACGCGTCTGCCCGTCAGTGCGTCTCGAGCTAACATGTAGTATTTGTTTGCACTTTGTAGGGTGGTGTGTGTCAAGACGGGTGGCATCCGGTTCACCATCACCGGCCACTCCTACTTCAACCTGGTGCTCATCACCAACGTTGCCGGCGCCGGCGACCTGACGGCGGTGTACGTGAAATCTCCTAGCACAGGATGGCTGACCATGAGCCACAACTGGGGCGCCAACTGGCAGAACGGCGCCATGCTCAACGGCCAGCCGCTGTCCTTCCGGGTCACCACCAGCGACGGCCGTACCATCACGTCCAACAACGTGGCGCCCTCCGGTTGGAGCTTCGGCCAGACCTTCGCCGGTAGCCAGTTCTAGCCAGCCGGCGACCACTGCAGAAGTCTCTTTACTTTTACTACTATCTTCGTGTAGAGTGTCAGCGGAGGATGGCTCTGTTTTGAAGCGGTCTCCTCCGAGTAACAAAATCTGCGTCGCCGTGGTGAGGTTACGCACTTCTGGGGTTACCGTTTTTGCTCCCCTCAAGGCGTGCTCACATTAGCCGGTTGGGCGGTTTTACCTTAAGTAGGCGTATTATGCGGAGATCCTTAGGTTTGAGCTCAGAAGATTAAAGCAATGGCTGGCTGTGGTGACGAGCATAATGGCTGGTCACCCGCCCATGGGATCAAACCAACGGTTTATGTATCTTTGCATGCTATAAAACTAATGGAATGTGTTTTGAGAGCTTGAAAGGATTGTTCTACCTTTGCTTGGCCAATTCTTTCATTTGTCATGTCAAGCTTCAATTTTTTTGCCAGAGTAGGAACGAATGGCTTCACTTTGATGCCTTCAAATGTCATTCAGCTAACACAAGCGACCCCGTAGAAGATGGAATAATGTTCTCCCCGCCTAGCCTCCGTCCCAACGGCGCGTCTAACCTCGTAGGATGACGTGTGGAGGTATGTCTTCATCGCATCTCGTGGGATTCGGTCGGATCCAGTCGTCGTTCGTATGCGTCCGTGTGTTTGTCTGCAATCCTTCCAATCTACGATTCTCTTCATCGACGACGGTTGCTGTTCTGGTGAGCTGGTCCTATGCGGCCTTACCACAAGACTTCTCGACTGTCTAGTAAGATTTGCCCGGCTCTGTTAAGGGAGAGGCAATGACGGCGGCGTGCCTTCGGCTCGCTCCAGTAATTGTAACCTTTAACCACCAAAACCAACTTTCATAAAACAAACTAAAGTTTAATTCTTTGAGAAGGTGAATGAATGATAGGCATATACAACTTTTTTTGTTGTGGCATGGGCTCATTTCCATTCAAAATATCTTAGCATTTGCATTCACTTTAAAAGATTGGTAAAGAAAAGACTGGAAAATAGAAAGATTCATTCGAGAAGCTTCTTAGCGATTGGCTTGTGTAACAACCTAGAGTCTTAAACCACATATTTTGGCATAATGAGTTTGTAATAATTTTATTTTGCATTTCCATGTCATCCTGCCATTAAATATTGCACCTCAAATAATTAATATATTTCCGTGCCATCATGCCATTAAATATTTGACCTCAGATAATTAATATGTATATTTCCAAAGAATCAAAAATTTGAGCCTTCTTGCTATTCTTTTAATTGCCCTTTCCAAATTCAATGCAAACCTTTCCATAAATCCTATTCAATTTCAACTCATATTTATGCTTCCAAACTTTGCCCATAATTTTATATTCACTTTTCAAAGCTCCAAAAATTCACAAATTTTGGACATTCCTATCAATACTTCTAGTACAACCAATTTGAATTAAATTAAAATAACTTTGAATTCAAACTCTTCAAAACTTGGTGAAACCTCTTCTATGTGGCTAGGTGTAAATGAAAGACCCCATAGAGAAAGTTTCACATTTTCCCAAGCCCACTAGGTTTTTCTTTTCTTTCCTTTTCTTATTCTCTATTTTTTGTAATTGAGAAAAAGAAAAGAAAAGAAAAGAAAAAAAGAAAAAGTAACAGTGATGAGGTTATACCCAAGGAGTAGGCCCAAGGATACACTATAAAAACATACACTTCCGTGATGATACGTGTTTGTCACAGTAGGTCACATTTTCTATCATGCATATACATCATGACGATTTTATGACAAAATCAAGATAGTTATACCTGTGCTGTCGTAGAAGTGTTCCATGACATTACCAAAATTATCATAACGGAAGTGTCCACTTCCATGACGATAAATCACGCGTCATAGAAGTGCTTTCGTCAAGGGTGATCGACACATGGCATCCACCGTAACGGGTCGCCGTTAAGCTATCGGGTTCCGGTTTTGATCCGATCACCCGTTAACAGCCCGGACCAATGGCGATTTTCCACGTGTAAAATTCTCAATGGCTAGAGGGACCATGTGTCGGCTCACCATTGGGACAGATGTCATCCACTCATTGGACTGAAGGCGCCTATGATACGTCGACACGTGGAAAGGTAGCGGGCCGGCCCACATAAAGCCTGTTAATGGCCTGTTCGCATATAGCCCATTTACAGCCCGCTAACTCACGACCTATTATGGCCTACCGGAATTTGGCCCAGTAGCGTCATATGGGCCATCCAATATGATTCCATCCCGTTGTAACTTCTGGCCCATGTATGGCCCATGATGTCTTTCGGCCCATAGTAGGCCCTTTGTAACTTTGGGCCCATTAAAGGCCCGAGATGAAACTGGCCCATAATGAATGGTGTATCGCTTTATACCCATTAACGATCCATTATTCTGTCGGCTATTTCCAGCCCATGTTAACTTTCGGCCTTCTAAGGGCCCATTTATTCTTGGGCCCATTTCTAGAATTCGTTTAGTTACAGTCCATTACCGGCCTGTTCCGCTTGTGGGCCAAATTCGACCAGTGGTTACAGTCGCCCCGTTAACCCATTGGGCTGTTTTCATAGCATCATCAAATACGGCTTATTAACGACCCATTATGGTCGAGCCATAAACAGACATTTTCCACTCTAGCCCGTTTACGGCCCATTTTGCAGACTGTTATTAGTTCACGAATAGTATGACCCATGTTTGGCAAAATGATTATACGGCCCGTAGAAGGCCCATTGATCCTACGGCCCGTAGAAGGCCCATGGATCCTACGGCCCGTAGGAGGCCCATGGTCACTACAACAGGTAGCAGGACCATGATTACAACAGTCCGTGTATTGCCATGGTTATTGTGGCCTAGTTATAAAAATAGGTTATTGTGGCCACTAGAAAAATGCGGAAAAAGAACTGTAGTGACTACAAACAAACAACTAAACATGACAATAAGGAAATAAATAAGCAAGCAACTAACGTTAGGCTATTACGACTATTACACATATTACATCCACCGGGCATCAAAGTTCGTCACCAGTGCAAATATAGGGAACAAAGCAGCATATTACATACACTAGCCGTCTAAATTGGCCACCAGTGCAAATAAACGCGGCAGCAAAACAAGTCCATTACTGAAACAACTTCAGAAGAGTTTAAGAAATATTATCCTGGGTATCCACCATGCTGGCAATAAGCTTAGCAAGCTTATTAGCTTTGTCCTGTTTGGCGCTAAAATCCTCCAACGCTTGCTGTTGCACTAGAAAGTATGCATCTGAATGCTCCAGGGACTTCTGCAGTCCTTTGGCTTCTTGTCGCAGCACAACTGATCGATGTTTTTCAGCATGTAGTTGAGACTCAAGAAACCAAACTGATTCAGACAATGATTTTGAATAGCTTGTGCCAGCGGTAGTGGCCAGTAACTCGAACACTAAACCAAGACATGACTTTGGGGTTGTCTCACTGTCTTCAAGATAGTTTTCCTTAGTTGTTTTATCAGCTTTGTTGGAGATCAACAAGGGTGTCTCACTATCCTGAACCTTATATGCATTACTTCCTTTACCATTGCTTAATAAGGCACTCTTCCCCAATATTCCGTCAGCATTCTAAAAGAAGAACCAAGCAGACACATAACATGTTTAGCATGTACTAGTATATGAAACTCATTTCGGTGAACTAGTTCATTAGTAAGGTGGACAGGATTAAACTATCAAGTCTTCTATTGCCAAGTAGTACATAATAAAAGCATCAAACAAACATATACCTATGTCCTGTGGTCACTGCATTGTCTTGCCAAATCAAAATAGAGACACGGTTCAAATCATATCAGTTCAAGACAAAGCATTACTGAAAGAATACAAAGCATGGGAAACTACACGGCACAACAAGATTTCAGATGGGTACCACATGTCTACATGTACAACAACACTAGTGGCTCTATTATGATGCTAGTAATATGCATGATATGAGAAGCCAACTGTATACACAATTGAAATTGAAATCAACAGAGCTATTTATAAGAGCAAACCTGTTAAAGAAACATGCGTAAACATACCTGTTGTGCCATTGGAGTTTCGATTGGATTCTTTAATTTAAAAATAATTTTGTATGAGTAAATAAAGTGATACAAGAGCAAAGCAATATGCACGATAGCAATGGAATCTTAAATGAGAACAATTGTTCTTCAGGTTTAAATACTTGTTCTACATGAACAGAGTACAGTAAGACGCACACATTGTTGGGGAACATATCATGCAATTTCAAAAAATTTCCTACGCTCACGCAAGATCTATCTAGGAGATGCATATCAACGAGAGGGGGAGAGTGTGTCTACGTACCCTCATAGAATGAAAGCGGAAGCGTTTGACAACACGGTTGATGTAGTCGAACTTCTTCTCGTTCTGATTGATCAAGCACCGAACGTATGACACCTCTGAGTTCTGCACACGTTCAGCTCGATGGCATCCCTCGTGTTGGGAAACATAGCATGCAATTTCAAAAAATTTCCTACGCTCACGCAAGATCTATCTAGGAGATTCATAGCAACAAGAGGGGGAGAGTGTGTCCACGTACCCCCAGATACCGAAAGCGGAAGCATTTGACGATGCGGTTGATGTAGTCGAACGTCTTCTAGATCCGACCGATCAAGCACCGAACGTACGACACCTCCGAGTTCTACACACGTTCAGCTCGATGACATCAGTCGTCCTCTTGATCCAGCAAAGGTGTCGATGAAGAATATGAGTTCCGTCAACATGACGGCATGGTGACGGTGATGGTGAAGTGATCCGCGCAGGGCTTTGCCTAAGCACTACGAAGATATGATCGGAGGCGTAAACTATGGAGGGGGCGCCACACACGGCTAACAATTGTTAGTGTGTGTTCTAGGCGCCCCCTCCCCACGTATATATAGGTGGGAGGGGGAGGGGAGCAGCCATGGGGCACCCAAGTAGGAGGAATCCTACTTGAAGTCCCTCCCAAGCCGCGCGCGCCCCCTGCCATATATAACCAAGGGGGGAAGGAAAGAGGGGGGGAGGGAGGGAA